AAGCCCACCTAGAAACACAACCTCAAGAGCACTGGGGCTGTTCGTAGCCGCACTGGCCTGTGCCTGGTGATGGATGTGTCTGCAGGGATTATACAAACCCACGTGTGATCCCAGAACTGCTCACGGGGCAGCGGGGAATCAAGTCCACACATACTCACCAGAGTGCGAACATGTGCACCTGCACATCCACTCTTGTGCATCCCAACACACGGAAGGATTGCGTCCTGTGGGTAGGATTCATGCTGGAGAAGTTTGTGGATTTTCCTCCTGAGTAGGGGATCCACTGGAGCATGGGACAATGGTGTAAGAACTCCTTCTCCTTCAAGAGAGAAGCGGCAGTAACAACTTGGTATGAACTGACCTGCACCCCCCCATTCCCTGCCCCCCTGTGCCACTGGGGGGAGGAGGTAGAGCTGGGAAGAAAAGGCAAGTCGGGGGAGTGGTGCTGTTTTTAAGATTTGGCCTTGTTTTCTTGTTATCCTCTCAAGTAACCATTTTTGTTTGCTTTTCTCTTTGTGGGTAGCTGTTAATAAACTGTTGTGCTTTAAGAAAAGCTGAGTTGTTTTGTCTGGGACCATGGTTGGTGGGTGCTCGTCTGTTCCTGTCTCGACCCTCAGCTCTTTTATTATATTATTTTCCTCTCCACTTTACTGGAGTGGGAGAGCTGTGTGGAGTTTAGTTGCCTTCAGGGAACCCCAAGCAATAGCTGATAGCGTTTGTGTTCACCCGGGTTCATCTCCCCTCACACACACAATGGGCATGCTTACATCTCATCCGTACAATGCAAACATGGATGTCTGACCCAGACATTCGGTGTCCCTCCATGGAGGGACAAAGAACCTCTCCGAGCTGGGGTGAGAGGCCAGTGCGGGAAATGGTGGTTGTGAGCAACCGGGCTGTGAAAACGGCTTCCCTGGCGTATCCAGTGAACACAGACGGAGACCAGACCCTGCTCTGCTGGTCCTTCATGTCTTCCCCAGCAGCCTGGCTGTGCAGGGACACTGCTGCCTGCCCCCACCCTGCACACTCACACTGTTTAGATGTACAGTGGTGTTTTCATCTGTGAGGCACTTTCTTGGGCATGTTCTTGCGATTAACTTTGGAAGAAGACATAAACCTTCAGGCACTGCCATGAAAAGATCCCCTTCCCTGACGGACCCACTCTTACATAAGCCAGCTCTGTCACAGCAGGGCCCGTTCCCTGTCCCTGTCTGTGGTCACAGAACAACCACACAGCAGGACTGTGGCCAAGGTGCCGGAGCACTCAGGCCTTAAAACCAATGCAAGGGCTCAGAAAGAGCGTGTGGAAGTGAAAAGAGGTCAGCTCTGGAAGATCAAGTGCTGGTGCTCCCTGGCAGGGCTGCCATGCTGGGTCTCTCTTCCCCTCCACCTCTGCTCACAGAAACTGTTCCTGCAGCTCCAGGAAAGGATTTGAAGGAATAATCTCAGGGAACATAAAAAAATCACTGCAGAGACCTTTACTTTGTTTAAACACAGAGATCCCAGCTCCTCATGTACACAGCAACTCGGTCAGAAAAGAAAAGAAGAGAGTGAATGAGAAAGGGGACGACAAAGTTACTACCAGTAAAACAAACACCGTCGACAACAAAAAACGCAGATGACAGGCTGAGTCTGTAATGACATACATGATGAATGCTATGCAGAAGAAAAGAGGCAGTTCATTGCTCCTGAAGAACATCCAGTCATCCTCTTCCTCATGGAGTTCTTGAGCTCCTGGTTCCTCATGCTGTAGATGAGGGGGTTCACTGTGGGAGGCACCACCGAGTACAAAACTGCCAGTACCCGGTCCAGGTATGGGAAGGAGTTGGAGGGGGGCTTCAGGTAGGCTAACGTGCAGGTGCTGATAACCAGGGAGACCACGGCCAGGTGAGGGAGGCACGTGGAAAAGGCTTTGTGCCGTCCCTGCTCAGAGGGGATCCTCAGCACGGCCCTGAAGATCTGCACATAGGACACCACAATGAACACAAAACACCCAAATGCCAAACAGGCACCAACCACAATCAACCCAACTTCCCTGAGGTAGGAGTGTGAGCAGGAGAGCTTGAGGATCTGGGGGATTTCACAGAAGAACTGGTCCAGGGCATTGCCGTGGCAGAGGGGCAGCGAAAATGTATTGGCTGTGTGCAGCACAGCATAGAGCAACCCAGTGGCCCAGGCAGCTGCTGCCATGTGGACACAAGCTGTGCTGCCCAGGAGGGTCCCGTAGTCCAGGGGTTTGCAGATGGCAACGTAGCGGTCATAGCACATGATGGCGAGAAGACAATACTCCCCTACAATCAAGACGAGAAAGAAAAAAACCTGTGTAGCATATCCCAAGTACGAGATGTCCCGGGTATCCCACAGGGAATTGTCCATGGCTTTGGGGACAGTGGTAGAGATGGAGCCCAAATCAAGGAGGGCGAGGTTGAGGAGGAAGAAGTACATGGGGGTGTGGAGGTGGTGGTCACAGGCTATGG